TAACTGGGGGGCTACTCCCGTGGCAATTTCACAGATCACCTTTAGTGATCAAGAAAAATTCATTTCATATCTAGGCAAAAATGATACGCAGTGCACAGCTGGAAATAGGTTTTCGGACAAAAGGGTCATTCAAGGGTCATTTCATGATACATAGACATTTTTCAATCCCACTGTTTTGGAAACAATAGCATACATTGTATTTTATACACTACAGCTGTATTACCGATCCTGCAAATGTTCAGTTCACAAATAAGAATTAACAAGTGGTGCGTTTGCAGTTTTGTCCAGTGTAGACAGAAAAGATACTGATTAAGTTCTGAAATTCTTAAAAACAGGTTGCTATCCATGAATGTTAATAAGAAATATGAAATAATGTTACCTTGTACAAATGTTAATAATGTATTACATTTTATAAAGTCTACTACTATTTTGAAGGACTTATGGATATAGTAAAATGTCTGACTGGCTACAATGAGTACTCACACTTGAACTAGAATTTTGAATTCGTGGTTCATGAGTCCATGGTTCAGGAACCCAAATAGGATTTAGTTGGTCATTTAGTTGAGATCGATTACTGATGTCTAGTTATTCCTATAAAAATCTAGATTATATCGAAATTGTATAATTTATTGTGCCCATTTTATGCACTGAGGAATGAATCATTAGGTTAGACATATAATAATGAAATTGCATTGAATATTTGGGAATCATTAAAATATTAGTCGTGCAACTAGCTTTAGAAAAAAATTAGTGAATGACGAGACTCTTGACCTTTATGATAATACAATTACCATCGACGATTAATCCATAGATTTTAAACGGACCGTGTGTAGATACATAAAATAACAGGATCGAGGTAGTGATGACGCACTATTGTCTCTGAAAGTCTTATACTTATAAACAACAAAATTCCTCAAATCCTATATCCGGATATTTCTCAGGTTTATTAACCAATCAAATTATTTCATTCTCGCTACCTATAACAGTTTTAATTCAGGATAAAACATTAATACGCTTTACTGCTATTTATGTGGCGGACAATAACTGCCCTTTACTCTACCGTAACAGGACAATAAACTACATGTTCCTGTACGGATGACTGCAGAACTAATTTCAAGGTTCTTATAATATACGAGTATGGCAACCTACATAAGAAAATCTGTTGATTGTTCTATGAGAGTTTACCAATCCCTGTTGAATCGCTTGGAACTAAGGATGAGTGTCAGGGCATTTTTTCTTTCCTGATTGGTCAGGGCGGTATCTTATCATATTTCGAAAGATTTTTAAATTACATTCATAATTTTCACCTCCATTGAATTTACGTCTGAAAGTAAATAAATATTTTTCCTTTTTTCGTCTTTGTAAATAAAGTGAAGGAAAGCGGCTGTGAGAATGTTGAAAAGGCATTCTAAGATATACATGTAATGCATTATAAAGACATTAATATTGTATTGCCGAATTAATATAATTTCTGTATATTGTTAAAAATAAAATGAAAAATATGAAGATGTATTTAAGCTCAAAAGTTCTTAAACAGAACATATTTTGGAACAGAGCAAATACAGACCTCTAAAGCATAAGAGGTGGGATGAGGTGCCATGAGTGAGTGAACATCTAATACCGACCTCTTATTATGTGTTGGTACCGAAGAATATCCTTAAGAATAAACCTTCAACTTTCAAACTGATTTATTGAGTGCCGATTGTAGGACGAAATTTGTATTTCTCAACCGGTAATATAAAAATATGAGTGAGACATTAAACTACATACAATCAATGATCAATCAAGTAGATGTAAATGAAATATTTGGAGATAACGAACGGTATTCGAGCTCAGAAATCTATTAAACTATGCAAATCAAGAGCTTAGAGCAAACACGCGCCTCTAAAACATTAGTGATAGGATGATATAGGATCACTGGTGCCATTAAGGGGGGGGGGGGTGTTATATCAATCTCACGTAAACATCAAGAACGTAACCGGATTATATTGTTATTTAGGAGTAAATTGTGGAAGAGATTATATCAATAATAAATTTTGTGAACATCAAGAACATTTTAACCGGATTATATTGTTATTTAGGAAAAAGTTGTGTCATAAATTCAGTAATAGATTATCTACCTCAAGTAATAAATTTTGTGAACATTGAAAAGATGAACATTTTATGCATGAATTAAAATGAAAATTAACTATTCATATATTGGAAAAAGTTGCATTGTATTAAGATGAACTTATATAGGTATTTAAACAAACAATATGAAAAAAGCATTTGATTTTCAACATAGTGGATTTTAAATCCTGAGTATTGTTATAAATTCGCAGAAAAAATATTTCGAATTTGAAAAGGATAAAAATTGTTGGAACAAAAATCATTATGTTATAAAAGGTGTCAGACCAATCAAAGGATTTTAATTTAAACTTTCATACTACCTTTTTCGATTTGAAGTTTATTTAAACTTGGTATTCATTCACACTTTAAAAAATAATTTTTTTGTTTAATTCACACTTTACTTGGCAAGAAATAATACAACTTTTATTAGTCAGCAAAATTATTAAAACGATGACATATGACGTATATAACAATTGGACATGTAACAAAAATTTCAAATATGAAAAGGGGAAAAATATGAAAGGGGGTGCATTTGGTTATTGCTAAATATAGATTTTTGATGTTTTAAATCTTTTATGGCCCTCCTGATGTGCTTCCTTTCCTAATATAATGGTTCTTTCTTTTACATGTTAAAACTCTTACTTGTACCTCATGATCAATTTAAAATCCATGAAGAATTAAGAACAGACTTAAGTCAAAAATTTGATTTTGAATAACTTGTCAATTATGATATGTACGAGGGTTGTCCCAAAAAGTCGTAGACAGGGAACATAGTTTATTTTCTCTTTGCTAGATCATGTAACATTCTATGGTCATGTATTTTAAGTTTCATGACGATACCACATTTAATAAGAAAATTATTAAAGAAACCATTAAGTGTACATCGGCGCACGAAAGATAATTTACGTCTCTCTGTCATGGGCCCTTTTTCTGTTTTACATGAGGCTATTAACATCCAAATGAATATTTTATTGAAAAACCACTCTTGACTAAGGGAATAATTTAAATCCGTTTTCGTAAGTAGATTCAAATTTTAGTCAAAATTAATTAGTTGAAAGACCACCTTACATTTTAGACAGCAGAGAATACACGTTGTTTGACGACGTTCATGGTCCAGAACGTTGCCCGCAAATGTCTGCGTTAAAACAATCAGTACTCTACTTTACATGCAATAACTTTTTTTTCGATATAGAGGAAAAACTATCTTTGAATCTCATACTATCAAAATCAACTTTTCTATTAAAATATAGTGTGAAATGTCCTTTCTGTACTCCTTTTCCCCCGTCTCTGATGAATATAAAATATACCAAACACAATTTATTACATTTCCGTGCGCCGGGTACGCGTTCGTCGACGTCATTTCCACCAATCTCAATTCGAACAAAACTTTGAAAATCATGCCACCAGTCGTCTGTTTCTAATGCTATTGATATGAAATTTCGACATGTTATTAAAATTTTGATTCTGGTTTCAGTGATTTAAATTTTAGTTCAATCTTTTTCATAGTACCAAAGAAATAAAAACAAATGTGAAAGCTATATGCGTAAATTATTCCGAATTTTGGTCGTGCGCCGACAGACCATATCGGCCTTCATATAAATCGTCCCAATATAATTATTATGAAAGATATATATTTAAGAATTCACAATTTAAAAGAACATTGAATGTATTATGTCTATGCAAAATTTGGTTAGTATTGGTTCCGTGTTAAAAAAGTTACTACCATTGTCTACGACTTTTTGGGACAACCCTCGTACGTTATCAAAAACTGTATAATGTTCCAATTTGAACATATGGTAAAAATTTTGTTTGTTATCAAAATTATTTCAAAAGTTATCTTGATTTGAAATTTTGACTTAAGTTCGTTCTCAGTTTATGATCTTGGGGCCAGAACACTAAGTCTTTTCTGTCTTCTCATAATAAGTAGTTGGATTCAGCCTTATGTATATCTAAGTGACAATAATTACAAAGATTGAATCAAATAACGGATTTTGTTTTAAGTAATCGTAATTTACGCCTCAAAAGCAAATACCTTATCATAATATATGCATTTAAAGAGGAGTCCTTTATTTTATTTTCTCAATATTGATAAAATGAAAAATGACACATTTTTATCGACCGCTTGATTTTCATTGATTATTACATTGCTACTGAAATAAGAAATTACATTTTTGTTACTCGGACAATAATGTTGAACATTTTATTCATTGTTTTATCTACTATTCTCCAGTTCGTATTCTTTTTTCTTACGAAAAAGTAATGATAACCAGAAACAATAGTTTTGTATGATTTAATAAAAAGGACCACCGTTGCTATAAAAGCAAAAGAAAGATATCGAATTTCAGGTGTCACCATCGCTTGCAGTTGCACAATTTTCATATATTTAACGGCTGCAAGTATTGCAGTATTCAAAATAAAAACGTGGCATTAGGAGTTATATATAGACCGTAAATGATATTTTTTAAATTAAGAAATAGAGGAAAAGGGGGTTTTTAGTAAAATTCAAAATAATTACTTAATGATTTTTGCTCTAAAAAGGCTGAAACACAGTTTTAAAATCTATTACTATCAGAAGACAGTCTCAACAATTCGCAGAATAACGCATACTTCAACAGCTGGGACAAGAGAAATTTTGAGAATTTCTAATTTTAAGCAATTATTTTACAAATTTCTTTTGATCCATATCATATCTTATTCTATCAATCACTTTTTAAATTGTCAATAGATATAACATTTTTAAAGCTCAAACTTTATGATAGGTATAGAAGGTGGTTACGCTTGATATGCTTCATTGATGCTAGGTGTGTGAACACGGAAATGTTTTAAAGAAAATTTTCATTGGTTAATACTTGAAAGATTTGATATCCATTGTCAAAACAAACAATATCTTCTACACTATATAAGGGTATATTTTCCCCATCCTCAGCACGAGCCAGCCAGAGCTAGCAGCCTAGTAATATACTGAGAACAGAGAGATTAAGGTAGGTTACCTACAGTGTGTGTTATTGTTAAATTTTTGAAATAAATGCAAAATAATTTTTAAAAACAGAAATTAACAAAAATTTAATGATTAATGATGTTTATTATACTCAAATAAAATGCTAATATAAGTATTTCGACATCATGCAAGTATTATTATAACGATTAAAAGAATTGTCATTTAAAATATACAGTAATTATAAAGCTTTTTGCAATTATTTTTAGGAAATCATAGAGTCTAAAGATGAGAGTTTTTGCTGTTCTGGGAATTTTCGCTATTGTGTCAAGTTGCCTTGGTCAAAAATCAGAAAAAGCTGAAGCCAAAATAAGTAAGCGGAAACAAACTTTAAAAATCTCTTTTGCAGTATTTTTTCATCTCTTTAAATGAATTTTTTATTTGAACTTAAATGTACATTTCAAAGACGATAAAGTTAGTATACATTTGTCTTTATCTCTTTCTTAAGACAGGGTATAAAAATAAAATAAAATCTTTCAGAGCCTCCGATCAGTATTTTTAGAAGACAATGTTGTCCGCGTCGTAATGGTATGTACCTTGATCTGAATAATGGTCAAGTCTTCGGAGGAGTGGAGGGCGTGTCTCAACCAACATTTACACCTCCGTCATCCAATGTGGAATGTGGAGTCATGGCGGACCTCAGAGCTAACTTCGCAAATCTGACAAACTGCCTTCAGGATTGGCATCGAGATGGTTGTTTTGATTTCCCAATGTGTGGACGACGCATGCTCAGAATTGACATGTATCTCGGGAAAGACCGCAAGGGTTATATGTTTAACATTGGAGACAGTCCAAGCAATGATGGATGGGGTAAGTAATTGTGGAAAGGTTTAGAAGTTCATAACCCTTTTCTCTTTGAAATTTGGATTTTTTTTTTTAAAATGCATATTCAAGATGTTTGTAAATAATTAAATAATTGATTAATTTCAAAATAGGTGGTGATTCAAGTGACACTAAACACGATGCCGAGCTGATGGGACTTTATCCCAACACCTTGGGATACAAATCAGATTATTGTGAGACAGAGAAAACACAATGGAGCGACACTCTTTTAGCACCAGATGTTAAAAAAGTCACCATCTTTGTTGTCAACAATTACGTCAGGATCATGAACGACCAGGGATTTGATGTGAAGACATGCCACAAATGCCTCTTTGCTCTCAATGGACAGGACCCTGACGATAGAGCTAACACACTTTATTTGGCCTTCAACAACGTGATTAAAGGAACGAGTCGACGTGGATACGGAGTGTGTCGTGTTGGCATCCGCTGGGAATGTCCCGATTGTGAGAAATTCAGCCCAATTCCGTTGTCCATTACCAAAACAGAAGAATGATCTTTATTTTATATAGTAATAAACTATGAGCATGAATTAAAAACAAACTTTGACGCACTGTGCATTTTAATTAATATTACATTAATATATTTTGAGATGCCAATTTTAGCATAAGAAATCTATGTAATTATATGAATGTACAAAAATGTAAATATTTTATGTTTTATAGACAATGATTTAAAAAATTGAATTGATCATTTATGCCACTCAAATGTCTTGTTTTCAATATTGATTGTTCTCTCAGAAAACTTAATAAAATGTTCATGTTTACATTCAGTGAGCGTTTTTTAATCATAAAAATACACATGAAGTATGCAACATTCAATAATACTTGTATTAGAACACCGTTTCTGAAAGACCCTTTATTCATGAAAAAGAATAATGAAATTAACATTGATGGAGAGAAAATGCCGTTGGCCTGAAAAATTATTCTATCATGCACGGTTTAGAATTTTGACAATCAGGTGCTCATCAAAGACCGATGGCATCTTAAATTAAAAAGGCAATGCATAGATGAATAGAAATTAGAATGATAGATTAGTCAAATAGGACAGAATAACCTAAGCATGATATAATATATGAAGAGATATATCAGGCTTCGCCTGAATTAGAAATTTCATTTAAAATTCATCAATGGAAACATCTTACCAAGAAACATGAGGAAACCATTTAAGTTTTCGTCTAACTAAATTCTGTTGAGCATTAAGATAAATTGCATTCAATTTACGGTTTATTATTATTTTTTTTATAACATGCCTTTGTAAATTTTAAATAAATGCACAATTTTAATTAGAAATGACCAAATCGCTTCCAAAAAACAGTGTAAATTCAGACGTTGTACACCATGTCAAAATTGGGCATAAAGACAATTCTGGCGATTACAAAAGATGAACATGGAAATGAAAAGTAACGATTTGAAAAAAAAATCCTTCATATGACTAGCAGTTTCAAGAAAACTCAAACGAAGTTTTGGCTATGGACCTCCTGGAATGATTTCGTTCTTTAATCATGTACGAAACATTTATTGTATGATCTGCAAACTCAATTTATGGAATAGCATTTAATTATTAATGTTTAATTTATGTTTGAACAAAGCCCTGAACAATTTATCCAAAGTCTCCAGTTATTTTTGTTTCTTCTTTAATAGTACTATCGTCTTATTGTTAAGATACATAGTGATACAGATTTAAGCATTGTTATCTAGAATATGATGGAACAAATTTTTTTATCTACTGCACAAAACCTATTAAAATTGTGTAATTTGAATTACAAAATAATCAAGGTAGATTTTATTCATTAAACCGTTTAATCCGTTTAGAATTACAACATGTGAGTCATCCTACTAATACGTATACACTGTCAATTCTTTTATTTGATTGATAGGTTAATTTTTTTCTATCTTTTTTTTAATTGTTCGTAGCTTTTCAACTTTTTAGATCATTTCTTCAATTCAAGCTTCACAATCATCTTCATCACAAACTGAGGTTTTGTTAAAAAATTTCCAATTTTTTTATCGATTAGTTGGCCATGTTGTTATATATCTTTAATTTAATTTTTTTATCGAAGCATGTGTCACTAGGAGTAATATATACACTAGACAAAATTGCTAACCCACCACCTAAGATAATGAATATTTTCCTTTTAAAAACCTATTAATGATGTATTTGATATATAAATATGTTACTTAAATACAAAATAAGACAAATTAATATCAAACCTTATAAATAACTACAGTGTTTACTAATGGGTGACCAATTCATAGAAAAAATTAAAATCGTGTGTATTCCATTTTTGAAGACAAAAATTTCAATTTTTTCTTTGTGTTATTTTGTGTTCTTTACATTTATTTGAAAAAAAAAATTAGAAAAAAAGTTACACCATATATGGCGTTTGACGCTAGAAGAGCGTAATAAAGGAGATAGTATGGCGTCTGCAGGGGGTTTCTTTAAAGAAATCTGTAAAAAATGAAAACAATGAAAAGCTTATGAATTCCACTCATTAAAAAATTGTTGCAAATTGATAAACAAACATAAAAATGTTTACTAAAGATATCCACAGCATTAAGTTAGGAACATGCAATCAGTTGAAAATTGTTTTACAAAACTAGGTCAACCGGAAGTTGAGTGGATATAGTATAAACACTAAGGCACTGGATGATAACTAGGCGATATGAGAGTCAAAGACTGTTTGAAATTTAATTTAGAACTGGGGGGCTACTCCCGTGGCAATTTCACAGATCACCTTTAGTGATCAAGAAAAATTCATTTCATATCTAGGCAAAAATGATACGCAGTGCACAGTTGGAAATAGGTTTTCGGACAAAAGGGTCATTCAAGGGTCATTTCATGATACATAGACATTTTTCCATCCCACTGTTTTGGAAACAATAGCATACATTGTATTTTATACACTACAGCTGTATTACCGATCCTGCAAATGTTCAGTTCACAAATAAGAATTAACAAGTGGTGCGTTTGCAGTTTTGTCCAGTGTAGACAGAAAAGATACTGATTAAGTTCTGAAATTCTTAAAAACAGGTTGCTATCCATGAATGTTAATAAGAAATATGAAATAATGTTACCTTGTACAAATGTTAATAATGTATTACATTTTATAAAGTCTACTACTATTTTGAAGGACTTATGGATATAGTAAAATGTCTGACTGGCTACAATGAGTACTCACACTTGAACTAGAATTTTGAATTCGTGGTTCATGAGTCCATGGTTCAGGAACCCAAATAGGATTTAGTTGGTCATTTAGTTGAGATCGATTACTGATGTCTAGTTATTCCTATAAAAATCTAGATTATATCGAAATTGTATAATTTATTGTGCCCATTTTATGCACTAAGGAATGAATCATTAGGTTAGACATATAATAATGAAATTGCATTGAATATTTGGGAATCATTAAAATATTAGTCGTGCAACTAGCTTTAGAAAAAAATTAGTGAATGACGAGACTCTTGACCTTTATGATAATACAATTACCATCGACGATTAATCCATAGATTTTAAACGGACTGTGTGTAGATACATAAAATAACAGGATCGAGGTAGTGATGACGCACTATTGTCTCTGAAAGTCTTATACTTATAAACAACAAAATTCCTCAAATCCTATACCCGGATATTTCTCAGGTTTATTAACCAATCAAATTATTTCATTCTCGCTACCTATAACAGTTTTAATTCAGGATAAAACATTTATACGCTTTACTGCTATTTATGTGGCGGACAATAACTGCCCTTTACTCTACCGTAACAGGACAATAAACTACATGTACCTGTACGGATGACTGCAGAACTAATTTCAAGGTTCTTATAATATACGAGTATGGCAACCTACATAAGAAAATCTGTTGATTGTTCTATGAGAGTTTACCAATCCCTGTTGAATCGCTTGGAACTAAGGATGAGTGTCAGGGCATTTTTTCTTTCCTGATTGGTCAGGGCGGTATCTTATCATATTTCGAAAGATTTTTAAATTACATTCATAATTTTCACCTCCATTGAATTTACGTCTGAAAGTCAATAAATATTTTTCCTTTTTTCGTCTTTGTAAATAAAGTGAAGGAAAGCGGCTGTGAGAATGTTGAAAAGGCATTCTAAGATATAATGTAATGCATTATAAAGAGATTAATATTGTATTGCCGAATTAATATAATTTCTGTATATTGTTAAAAATAAAATGAAAAATATGAAGATGTATTTAAGCTCAAAAGTTCTTAAACAGAACATATTTTGGAACAGAGCAAATACAGACCTCTAAAGCATAAGAGGTGGGATGAGGTGCCATGAGTGAGTGAACATCTAATACCGACCTCTTATTATGTGTTGGTACAATGTACCGAAGAATATCCTTAAGAATAAAACTTCAACGTTCAAACTGATTTATTGAGTGCCGATTGTAGGACGAAATTTGTATTTCTCAACCGGTAATATAAAAATATGAGTGAGACATTAAACTACATACAATCAATGATCAATCAAGTAGATGTAAATGAAATATTTGGAGATAACGAACGGTATTCGAGCTCAGAAATCTATTAAACTATGCAAATCAAGAGCTTAGAGCAAACACGCGCCTCTAAAACATTAGTGATAGGATGATATAGGATCACTGGTGCCATTAAGGGGTGGGGGGCTTGGGGGGGGGGTGTTATATCAATCTCACGTAAACATCAAGAACGTAACCGGATTATATTGTTATTTAGGAGTAAATTGTGTCATAAATTCAGAAGAGATTATCTACCTCAAGTAATAAATTTTGTGAACATTGAAAAGATGACATTTTATGCATGAATTAAAATGTTCGTTTATATTGGAAAAAGTTGCATTGTATTAAGATGAACGTATATAGGTATTTAAACTATCTTATTTATTTTCAACATAGGGTACCGGGTCTTAACTCGCAGAAAAAATATTTCGAATGAAAAGGATTCAAAATTAGTGAACAAAAATCATTATGTTTCAAAGGTGTAGAAGAGCAGGAAAATAAACTATTCATATTACTTATCTTGTCTCTATAAAAATAATTGCACAACGTCAAATAACAACTTTTATTATTTATAAATCCTAAACACCAAACAATATGAAAAAAGCATTTGAGTTTATGTATCTAGTGGATTTTAAATCCTGAGTATTGTTATAAATTTCCTACAAAGATGGAAGTTCAACATGACCATGACTGCATTATTTTGAGGCAGATTGAATTTGATTTTATTTCTGTGCTGTTATAAAAGACTGTTGGCTCAAAATTTGATTTCTGTTGTATAACTTGCCTTTGTACTTCAATCAAATCGATTTTACAATCAAATCGATTTTACATTTATGTACTTTAAGCATTTTTTTGACTACCTTTTTAGAAAGTAATATGAAGTCAGCAAAATTATTAAAACGATGACATATGGTATATCATTCACAAAAACTTTAAAATTGAGAATGCATTATTTTTTTGATGTTTTAATTCACACTTTATGTTAAAACTCTTACTTGTACCTCATGATCAATTTAAAATCCAGGCAAGAAAGTAATAT